TCAAGAATGCAACTAAAAGAAAGCCACTAGTGATCACAAATCTAAAATCTTTTGTCCAGCAGGTGACAAGATTAGTGGTCTGTACAGAGAAATCAAAGAGTTACAGCTCCTAACACAGAAAAAGCATTACATGACGTAAATTTGATTTCATTCGGTCACAAATCAGAGTAGCTGCTCTGCCACCAGCTGCGTAGGAAGGGTCACTTTGAGAGACATTAACTAGGAGAAAATTAACATAATAGGGTCAGACTCTGATCACGATGAGTTTAAATATACTGCTGACAATACTTAACAAAAACACAGTTGTAAATATAAGCCGAGCTGAAACCTGTCAGTGTGCCCCTCTAGAATCAACAGCCAACCCATTGTTCACCCTTACCTCAGAGCCACAGCCAACAGTTTGGACAAGGTGAAGCGATCGCTGCTGTTACTGGGAAATATGGCGGCTAAGATGAGTGTGAACAGGCCTGAGGAGGGAAAGGTGACACAGTTCACTCAGAAAACTAAGAATCAAAGCAGCAGGTTATGTTTAATAAATATCAGGTGTGATCAAAATGTTCTGGGAGCGTTCGTGGTGCGCGTGCAGGGAGCGCATCATAACTGTGCTAGCAGTAACTGTCACGAGCCAAGACACCACGTGACAACATGCTACAAACGTCATAATCTGTGTTACACACATTTTGTGACCACTGGTTGGTGAACATTAGCAACTTCTCCATGGAGCTCAAACTGGAACAGGAAAGTACACATCACATTCTGTGTCAGTCAACTCCACTGCATGATCCAACCTTCATGTCAAGAAAAATCACTGGCGACAAGAGGTGGACCTGCGGCTACTACCGAGAGAAGAAACAACAGTTCTCACAGTGGAAGGTCCTGGAGATTCAGCACATGTTGCAGATTTGTGTGGCGTGTTTGCATAATGAGAATTCCAAGGAATTCCACTACAAGCGCTGCAGAAGCACTGCAAGTGCAGCTTCCCTCCTCAAAGGGACTGTGTTGATGGAGGCGGTGAGGTGACAGATGTTAATCAGGTATGGCTTCCATCACACTTTGTGTATGCTGGCTAACGCTACCTAATCAAGAGTCTTTTTCCTTTTGAGATATGTCAGTCTTGCCTGTACATTCGACTTATTGCCATGAAACAGAAAGAGCGAGAGAGTCACCTGAAGTGGAGGACAGAATGTTGACAATGGCGACCTGCGTGTCCGACAGGGCCTCCTGGTAGGACAGGTTAGCCAGGAACCACTAGAAGACAAACAGCGCAATTGTCAAAAGCGGACACAATGATAAACATCTCACAATATAACAACCCTGTGTTGTGGTAAAAACTATTTAACTTACCCTATAAAGTCAAGTTTTGCGGACTGCCTGAAGTTGTGATTTAATCTTTAAAGTCCGAGTTAATTATGTGATTCCGCAAGCATCCCATAAAGTGTCTTTCAGGCTTCATTTATAATAGCTGCCCTGTGGCTTAGGGGTTAACGTGGGTCAAATCTGGCAGGAGGCCTTTGTTGCATCTCTCTCTCCCACTCTCTCTTCACTGTCTCTATCTAATGAGGGCATAAACTGTCCCCCAAAAATGATAATAATGATAATAGAAAGAAGGGCTTAGTAAGTGCTGCCAGAATTGTAGTACATCAGCCCTAAACGCCACAGAACTAGTAGAGGATGTACAGCAACTCTGCTTGAGAACAGAAAAAAGCTGAATATAATGTGTGTTTAATTTTCAGATTAGGATCCTTAAACTCTTCAAAGTCTTGAGGTGGTTAAATTTAAACTAAATTTAAACTCTCTGCTTTAAACTTTCCTAGACTCCTTTATTGTCCTAAAGAGGTAGAGCCACAAATCAAAAGCAGCTCATCGCTTGAAAAGGCCACATGAATAAAGACGTGCAGTCACAATCCATTACTCTCTGCTCACTCACATAACTACAGCACGCTAAAAGCATGTTTTATTATACGCACAGAAGAACAAGGAGAACAGTTTCACCCAACTGGCTAGCGAATAACAAGAATAAAGCGTGTGTGCTTTATAAGAAGTGACCACAGCAAAACAGACAAACAAGAGAGAGGATACAAACTATTAACTGATTACTAGGTCCCCGTATTGTTTGTGTTTTGTTCTACTAGAACGTGTATAAACATGAACACCATGAGCCTGGTCGTGGCGACTGTAGCAGACGGTGGTCAGGAGTAGCACAAGGAAGTAATGCACCAGTAAAAACAGAGCACAAGAACACTACAGGGCTTTGTTGCAGTGTGTTTACAGAGCAAATAGTTGCTCGTATCTACAGTGTGTGAAAGAAGGCAGCTTAACGCTAATATACAAGCCATATAAACGTTATGTGTCAGTGATTTGTAGTGGTAGAGAACGATACAGTTTATGGTGCTTCCATAATACAACTTTGTTATTCCACCGCATGGTTTGACTTGCATCTTACCTGTGTCACTTGTTCTACATGTAGGATCATTTGTTTGTAAATTTCTTTCATACGGTCTTTTTATTGTGTGCTTGCGTTTAGTTGTTTTTTATGGATTTTCCATGGAAGGTACTTTATTATATTAT